TTCAGTTTTGTCAGATCCAATCATTGTGGAATTGTTATTTGTATCTTTTGAATTTTGAACATTATACACACATTGTTTTAACTGTGAACAATAGAAACTCATCTTAAATAAATTCAAAGAAAATTCACTTGTTCAGCTGTTTTTTTCAGGTCAAAACAGGCTCTGTTGTTTTTCTTTTATAGTAATATCATCATCAAGTCTAAATGACATTTTCAGGAATGCAGTACTCTGTGAATTGCCATAAAAAAGAACAGTTGTAAACAGAATGTTTGATGATAGAAAATGTATATTTTGCACTTCTAGTTTCAGCTATTGCTTTAAATGTACATTTTATACATTTCTATTTAAAAAACCCTTTGCAGGACTCTCTTTTACTTTGAGTCGAGCAATCTCTGCGTCTACGGAGAATAAATTCTGAAACAGCTTGAACACGGCATTCTTGTTCCAAAACTGCACAGATCTGCTCCTAAACACCTAATAGTAATCTTCAAGACAAGTGTGCTTGCTCAATCACTCCCGTAATAAGTCTTGCCAGCAAAGGTGTCCAACTCTGTTGCCAAGTGTGTGAATTTACCTTTCTTGAGATGATCTCTGCACAGGCCCAAATTTCATTGGAAATCCACGGACTGCTTCAAACATCTCACACCCCCCTGCAAGTTTAGGATTTGGTCATTCAGATGTGCAGCTACAGTATGTGTGTCAAAAATGTCAGGTCAGCAGGCCATTCACTGTCTTCCATGAGGGATGTCTCTTCCCTTTTCTTGCAGAAAAGACTTGTTTCACTTAGCTGAGCAAACATTCTCAGAGTAGTTCCACTGCTTGGCCACCTTTCTGTATGGGAAAGAATGACATTGTTTGCAGCACTGATACTCGCTGGAACAGATTGGAATTCACAGTGGGTAAGAGATCACACTTGAATAAAGTTAACAGTGGACACCACAAAGTCCATTATGGTTTTGAATTATATATATTTCATCTGCTACTGATGGATTATGTAGAAATAGTGCTTCAACAATGCAGCTTGATCATGCTCAAAGTGCTTCTAAAGACAACCAATTAAACCACTTGTCCATCATAGCTGGCACTCTACTGGACAATTTAATTCTTCAACCGTTTTCATGAAAGCATTGAAAATGTCAGTTGTCCTATCATGCAAAGAAAAAAGAGTTGCAAGTTTTTTATTAACTTTGAATGTCTCAGTGACTGCACAGACTATTAAAAGCTGCATGTTATTATTGGTGTCTATGCTTTCATCTAAGGCATCTGGAAAACTCATGAATGCGCAATCACATGAAATCTTGGATGTCAGCAGTGAATCATTGAGTTCTCATTTTGGAGAGGCCAATTTCTTTAAAGCATCTTTAGTTTCTGAACAAACCGCATTGGATATGTGGGTCATTTGCTTCTCAAATTCTCTATCAGTAAAAGGGCAGCCCAGTTCTGTGATGAGTTTAACAACCTAGAAACGTGTGATTGTGCACACGATTTCTTACTTTTACCTGAAAATGTTGTTTAGTTTTTTTCCCTGCAGTTGCTTGACTTTTGAGTGATTTCTCTCACAGTGACCACATACAGTACAGTACATTATATTATTTGGCTATGTGCAGCCAACACACTTAAGACGTTCAGTAAAAGACATGTTAAGGCACCGGATAAAAATTGACTGTCCAGTTCTGGATTGAATTTCCACATATACGATCCTCTTTTTGGTCTTAATTGGCTTTGATAGAAAGCTATTTGCACATATATAGCCTATTTATGGACTGACCCTTAGCCCATTTTTTTGTGGTGAGGCACAAGGTTTGGTATTTTAGACACAACTAGTGATGACAGGGTAATACATTGGCACTCTCCTTAATATTGCTTTATCGATGATTAATGACGATGAAAAATTATGTAACACACTGTAGTGAGCTACACTAAATGCTTTTTCTATCCGCGATTCTATAGGGAGTGTGAGGTATGGGTTAGTGAAGATTTTATGATTTTAATGTAACATACACGTACATTTGAATTTTTATTCTTATTACACTACAAAGCTTGAAGCTCAACAGCCAACCCATCCAATAACTATCATGCTTCTGTAATCTCCATCGTCTCATGAAAGTGCTTAACTTTCTCATGAGCATGGGTCCAGATATAAGTGAACATTCTCAATGTCTGATCTCAAACCTTATCTCAAAATTCTCAAACCCTTATCTAAATGGACTAGCTTAGGTCTTTCAAGAGTACAGTGGGTGTCAATAGCCTTGCTTATTTTTGAGGAAGCCATAGATTCTAGTGACTGAGCCTTTTTAGCCCTGTTGTCCATTGATCGTCCTTTGGCAAGTTATTATTTTTATTATCTCCAGTGCCTGTAGTACTGTAAGCACAACATGCTTGCATTTTTGCCAGTTTCCTACTTGTGCGGCTGTGATTTTGATGGTGTAAATGTTTTGAGATAAACCTAGGCAAGGATGATAAACTGTGCCTGTGCTATGGTGGATGTTTACAGAAACCGTGCACTCTCATGACACCATCCAAAACTACTGAAAGACAACAGCGACTGAAAAAGGATGCAAGATGGGTAGAACCAGAAGTGATCAACAAACAGTAAAAGATGATTTTCTATTGGCTTATGGCTTGCTGTTTAGTAGAGTATTTCTGTCAGCAAATGGTTGGATAGTAAAGCCTTTGCTGTATGGACTATTTTAGATGATCCTGGGTATTACCCCTAGATGGCGCCGTTTTACCCTTATTTGACGCCACAATAAAGACCAGTGTCGCAATATAATTTAATTGATTTTTGATTGTTGTTTACAGGTCTAATTTTGGAGACTTGTGCCAATTCACCTTTGTTGCTTTTGATGTTGTTTAGCTGTTTAGCTTTAATTAATTATTTTTTCACAATTTCAGGATCTTATAAGCCACCATGTAGGGGATTTTAATGTTAGATTTTCTGCAACATATCTACAAAGCCTCTAAGGTTTACATTGAGTCTACAGTGATAATGTGCAGCAATGGGTGTTGCAGCATGCTTACATCATTTTACGAAGCTGGTTGTTCTGTGATACTGGACATGCTTTGTGAGACTGATGAAAAGCAAAGTCATTAACAAAAGATGTTACATCCTTCATCATGCATTGAACATGTACTGATGTGGTTAAGAATGCAAATATCTACATCATTTTTCACCAGATCTTGATTAAGAATTTCTTTTGTTGCTATGACGTTACCAAAATGTTAAACATTGTGTAGTGCCATCATTTTTGTGTGCAGAATGCAGAATTCAATAAACTGTAACAACATGATTCTTAATATTTTTGCTATATTAAAAGTTCTCTATATTAATATACAGGCAACTATGTCCTTCTTTACATAATGGTTTAATACTCTTCATATTTTATTCAGATTGCATAGTGTTGATGTACAGAAGCTCTACAAACCTACTCAATGTGTGCCTGTCAATGTATATTTAATATATATTTATTAAAATTAAATTTAGTATAACTCATGCTTCCTTACATAACAGATTTGCAATAGGATATTTGTTTTCTTTTTGCAGGTACATTTAATAATCCTGGGTCATTGTTGATTTATTTTTAGGGTTACATACATTACATACATAGGGTTACATGTATGCTGTGATACTGTTTCAAAACTTATAAGCGTCTGTTTTTAGAATGTTACTCTACTGGTTTTTCTTTTTTCACTTTTAACTCACAGTAGAAGAAATTGACTTTTTGCATTCAAAGAATTTAAAGAAAATTATTTTCATAGAAAAATCAGGATTAAAAAGGTTTATAGTACAAAAAAATAAGGCATTTCCTTTACTAATCCCAAACCATGCACTAGAAAACAGTAGGCAGTGGTGCATTTAATATCTACAAGCCAACATGCAACAGAAAGCCAATGGCAATTTGGTGACATGGTCATCATTTGCTCTCTGGCCCTTTCGTTTCTTCCCTTGGACAAAAACAGTTCTGACGTTGTTCTTGTAATTGCCGCTAGAGAATTAAGTTATTGTGGTTCCCTTTTTAAAGAGGATTTGTAGGGCTGACTGGTTTAGGGCTGACTGGGTTAGTAGCGTTCCTGTCACCAGAGCTTCTCACTATAAATTCTACTGTGAACCATTGGTGTGTGTGCTGCGTGCAGGGGAAATGGCTGTTTGATAGATTTTATTTTGTGTTCCAGTCCATATAAAGCTAATAACAAAATCGCAGCAGAGGTCAGGACACATGAATTTGCTAGAGCCGTGACGTGAAACTGAAGGGTCCATGATTGTGTTCTTGCTTGTGTGCATGCGTACATTTCTTAATACCCTTCCTCTTGTCTCTTGTCTGTTCAGTACATTCATATGTATCTTGGCAAATTAAGTCTAATCCGCTGCACTGAAGAAGTGAGGAAATGAACATTAAATACATAAAAGAGAGCAGAAGCCAGGTCCCTAGGTCATGTTCTTGTATTTGATGACCTCTAGTGGAAGCTTTAAGCAGTGAGCACATCTTCCATGTCGAAGTGGTATAACGTGTGGTACAGCTCAATGGGAATGAAATAACTGGAATACTGTAAAGCAATAAACAATATGCTGTTATACAAATGGCTGGATTAATGACGTTTTTGTTTTTAGTCTTTCAATGTCAGTTTCAAGTCTTCAAATAGAAATTTGGAACAAATCACCCACTGTAATCTTGGGGCAGTTGGGTTTCATGATATATTGCTTAAGCATAGCATCTAATATGGCTCACCCAGTGCCTCCCTGGGACACAGGTCAATCAGGTTTCAGTAGCATAAAGTGCCAGCCCAACAAAGGGATTACACTTGCAGGTCATACTTACACAGCTGGGTGGATTGGAACAACTGGGGTCAAGTACTTTCTCAGGGGCACAACAATGTCTGCAGCAGAGAATTGAATCCACAAGCAATTTACATTTCCAGTGTTTTACCCACAGTGCTTTGCTATGCTGCCCCCCAGTATTTTGCATACCATTTCTAAAGTCTTATTTTTTAATTTTTTTTAGGTTTTACATTGAAAGTATATCCTACTTGAAGGACAATGCCACAATTGAACTGTTTTTCCTAAATGCAAAATCATGTATCTACAAGGTAAGAATGTGTTTTTAATCTATATATATATATGTTTCTAATTGGTTTCTGTATTTCCTGTATGTTTCATGAAAATATTTGTACTGCTTATAATTTCCTGTACAAATGGGATTCTTGTTTGGTTCCAGATTGTGGAATGCTTTGTGTGACGTTTGCAGGTTCTGATTCATTACACTGGTTTTCTCCAGGTGTCCTGACTCTCCCACCTTCCAAAGACATGTTAGATTGATTAGCTGATGTCTACAGATTGGCCGTTTGCGTGTGTCTGCTGTGTGATGGACTGGTGTCTCATCTATGGTGTAGTCCTTGTGCTTCCAGGATTGGCTCTGGATTGCTAAAACCTGCAATTAGTAATGAGCAGCTTTCTGACAATGGATGGATAATATTTTACTACATGGAACATGGAAATTGTTAGGCTGTTAATGAATACAAACTCAAATGAAGTGTTACAATAACAATGTCAGACCAGTTGAGGTCTTGCCATCCATCGATTATATACAGGTAATGGATATATACAAAATGGAAACTCCTCGCCACATAAGGGTACACAAATATATTGAAACCACAGACTTCCACACAGGTGTGGCTCATGCATTAATTAAGCAAATGACACGCCAGCATGCTTAGGTTCACGTATAAATATGCTGTAGAGGCCTGGTTAAGGCCAGCATGACTGCACAACTTCAGTGACTTTAAAAGAGGAGTGATTGTTGAGGTGCATTTGTCAGGAGCTTCAGTGATAAAGACAGCAAGATCCCTGGTGTTTCACACACAACACTGTCTAAAATGATGTCAACGTAGAACTTTGAAGGGAAAGATATCATCAGCAAAGGGCTACAATGGACGGAAACACATTCTCCAGCATTGTGTGTGTCCATTAATTCTAAGTGCAGGTAAAACAGGTGAGCAACTGTAGATCAGCTGACTGCAAATTAAACAAGAGGTATTAGCAGCCCAGTTTAATCACAGTCTGCAGAGAGCTTCACAGAGCAATAGCATTTTGGGGTTGCTGTGCTGATCATCACACCTGCAAATGCATGTTTGCATGTGTACAAACAGCACAGATACAAATGGTACAAAGAGGTCGGGCAATGAACTATCGCGCAACGGAGAAATGTAATACAGTCAGATGAATCATCTTCATCTTAACAAACTGACAAGTGCACATTACAATTTCTGTACACTACAATTTCTACAGGCCTGAGAGTTTGTTTCCAACAGTGAAGGGCTCTGGTGCTTCCATAATATTGTGGAAGACAAGGTCAATGATAATCAATCCTAATGGTACTGAGTGATTGTCTATACCCCATGTTATAGCATTTCTTTCCTGTCGTAAAGACACCTCTGGTGTCTTCCAGAATGATAATGCCACCATTCACAGAGCATGCGTGAGCATGATACTGTTGTTTTCTATATATCCAGGCTTTCTCAGTCACCTGAGTCACTGCACCAAATCAAGCATTTATGAGATAAAAAGAGGGACAATTTTTCCATCTCCATTAGCCATGAAGTACCTGATTGAAGCATCCCACTAACAGAATACCAGATGCTGGTAGACATGCCATGATTCATATACAGGGTATACTGGCAGTACATGGTGGCCCAACACAGTTTTTAATAACTTTATTTTGGTGGGTGTTTACATTTTTTGTCTGCTACTGGTAGCTCTTTTATAGCTATTAAGAAAAACAAACTTTAAAAATGAGTTGTGATTATTTTTAAGGTTGACCTGCAGGTAGTACTAAGAATTGTAATATATACTTATTTAAGTTATTTTAAAAATAAAAAGTAATAATTGAATACCATTTCTATTACAGATTAATCAGTAACATAGAGAATTGCTTTTAAAATAGAATAAAGTGTCGTCTTAATATACAAATTTTAGGTATGCTGTTATGCACTGTTAAAAATGTGCTTTTGCTTGTAATAAATGATATCATTCTTATCTTGCAGCACCACTCATTGATAGGTTTTGATATTTACATTATGATAATTTAAAATAATGAGTTATGTAATAAATACATTAAAAATCTAAAAAAAACATTATACAGCAATCTTAGTAACATTCCAAGGAGTAGTCATATTTGTCATAAATAATTATTTGAATGTCAGAAAGTAAATGTGATCACATTTATGTCACATTTATTCATACCTCATGGTAATCCTTTAAATAAAATCCAACGAAAACTAATCTACAATAACATCCTGCTCTTTGGAAGTGGAGGGGAACTCTCTGGAATTATATACTGCAGAAGGCCTCTTGAGGTTTCCTGTTCCCTGGCGTATAAAAGGAAGTATCACAGAAGACATTCAATGGTAGCATGCATCATCGTGGTTCAGGTTAAAGACCTTTCCAGAGACTGTGGACAAATGATCATTGACCTCCATGAGTTGGGTAAAGGCTACAAAATAATCCATAAAAAGTTGAATCTACATCATTTCACTGTTTCTCCATTATTAAAAGCTACTGGAACAAAAGCAAACCTGTTAGGAAGAGTATCCATGAGTATCTGCCATCTCAGGCCATGAAACAAGTGGTTCAGAAGGTAACCATGAATCCAAAGGCAACAATTCAAGATAAAGGGAATCACATGTACCCTCACATGTACCAGGGCATTTTGGCCAAACTCCTGGTTCCCTCTGCCATGAAGTTCAGTCGTGTCTGAAAACAACCATTCCTGCAGAGCGTGCTCTGAAGTATACATCCAAAATAAAAAAGTGGTTAACTACACACACAATTATGTCAATCTCCAGACCTCAGTTCAGTCAAATATTTGTGGTTCACAGATGGAAACTAAAAAGTCTGAAGGAGCTAGATCTATAGTATTTCGCCTAGGGGAATGGTAACAAACACCCTCACTGAAGTTCCAGAACCTCACAGAATGCTACGGGAGGTTTTTTTTCAGTGCAATCCCTGCCAGAGGAATATTTACAGAATATTGTACTAAGAGAATGATAAATAAATTAGACCCTTGCATTTTCTGGAATTAAATTATTTATGACAAATATGACTTTGTTTTGTCAAATGCTGTTAAGGTTTCACTAGTATTTTGAGTTTTTTTAAAAATAAGAAACGTTTTTTAATCTGTAAATCTTACTATTGTGTGATGTTTCCCATTGTCATCTGAAATATGATTACATGTGGAGGACACTGCATACATACATATTCCAATGCTAGATCTACTAGGACGTCCTTTTTGACCGCTTTTTGTTTTCAGATGCATTTCTGTGTGCTTATTTTGTACATCTGCTTACAAAATAATCGTGAAGCAGTTATTACGAAAGAGAATCTTATACTTCACTGCAAGTCCTGAAGTAATCTTGTGAGTTTATCACAAGATGAATCTGGAGATGCAATGAGTCAGGCCTAGGCAAGCATAAAAATAACTCATGATAAAGTTTAGATATGAGATTGTTCTGACACCCGCAGTTGTGATTTAATTGCCAGTGAATCAGAAGGGGGAAAAATAAGGAAGTCATCTACAGCCAAGCTCAAGCTCAAGCTCAGTTTTCAGTACAATGTTTTACTTACTACAGTTGTTAATGTTGTCTGTTTTAGAATGGCATCTTACAAAGAAAAGAATAGAAAACAATAGTTTAAGGCTTTTAAAACAGCAGTCATAATGAGTGTTTTGATAGTTAAAGGTGTATGGTGTTTGTATCACCAGTAGTAATTTTGCTAAGTGTAGTTTACTTTTAGTACTGAAATGGCATAAAACATTAAAGTTTTTTTATGTGTGTGATATAACACTTTGGCATACAGAACATCACTTTTGTTGTTTTATTACAAGGAAGTTAAAATGTTAATGTCCCCTCATGAATTAAGAAGAAACATTTTTGTAATGGATTGCCTCCAGCACCAACATTGGAAGAAATTGTGTTTTTAATATTCATGAATTAAGAATTTAAAGATTCCTGCCAAACAAGTTCTTTATCATCTTGCAATGATAAGGATACCCTTGTCTCAGATGATGTATAGTTTTGCTCTATCTAATCTTCTCTCGTTTTTCTTAAGTGCCACTGGCAGTGTTAGTGTTAGAAAAGAATGTACAAGTTCATTAGCGAAGAGTTATGTTTCGCTTACCGATAATGTTATTTAGTATGTTATGACAAGAGAGGTTTATAATTTTATTTCCCTACACAAATCTCCAGTGCCTCACTCTCTACAAACAGAGAGATGGGGAATTTTGCCTTTTTTGTGCTATTTAATTTGCTATTGGTTGTTTTTGTATGAACTTTCTATACTAAAGCAGATTTGCATATTGTATTGAGCTACCAAGTTTTTTAAGACAGCTAGCTGTACTGTCGGTGTTTGTACCCAGCTGAAACATTTGCTGTTTTTTACGGCCCAAGTGTCTAGGGGAAAAGGGGTGTAACATTTAGGATAATTCTTTTGGAAGCAGGGGGGGTTTTGGTGAGGGACTAGGAAGCGTGATAACAAGAGTAAGGAAGAGTGGTGCCAAAGGGAAAGAAAATAACAAACAAAATGGAGCTGGCTAGGACAGTGAGGGAAAGCTAATGTGACTTCAAAAGAAAACCCGAAACACACGGTCTTCGGCGTCTTCAACACCCTAGCTAACCTGCACTGACTACCCAAAACCATACAAGACAAACGGCACTCACCCGTACTAAACTAGTGTACTAATACAAAATCAACTAAGTGTGTAAGTGTACCCAACAACCTAAACTAACCTTATATACAAAAGTTCACACAAAAACACAAGTGAACCAGGAAGACAAATAAGGGAAAACAAGAGTAATAAACAGGAGCAGGGTACAAAAGAACACAAAAGTTGAACATGTAACACTGGGGCAAGGTAATGGCAAAACAAGGATGAACACACAAACAAACGAAAGTACAAAGAAACTAACAGAAAACCAACAAAACAACAAAGCCGAAGCTATATGAAAATATACACACACAAAGCAAAACAAACCAACAAACGAAGCCGAAGCAATAACCAGAAGCGAAGCGAAGCAAAAACCAAAACCAAACGGGACCGAAGTCAAACGAAAGGCGTCTTCTTTCTGAAAGCCTCCATGTTATATAGTGAATAACGTGTTCTGATTGGCTGAGGGCTGATTGATGATGACATCATATTGAAACAGTGGTGTGATGGTTGGCCAATGGGGAAGGGAGAACAATCAAGGGTTAACAGTGTGGACATAACAGAAAAAACACACACAGAACACACACTGGGACGTAACACTGTTTATGGTGCAAAACACATTTTCTAATTTTGTCAGACATGTGGTAGACAATTAAGCTCCTTTTTGCAGGTTGTCATTGATATATTATAACCCCCACTTGGACAGAGGCAGTCTGTGTCAGTTTGATTGGGTATCACTTCCCATTGCTGTTATGTATCAACCTTTGATTCAGGGGGTCTACATCTGGTAAAGCCTATTAAAATACTTGATGATTATAGTTTATAATCAACTTCAGAGACTCCATTCTGTTCATCAGAATTTCTGTGACAAGAGTGCAGCATTGTGCGAGTCAGATTGCTCACATACAGTATACAGTGATGAAAACTGAGCGTGCCCACATATTAAGTTGAGAAAGTAATGCTAAGTGTGCTGTGCCAGTGTAAACAGAGAAATTACAGGCACAGTTTTTTTAAAAAGTTTAACGAACATTTAATAAGTCCGTTTCTGGCTGTGCTTTTCTGTCCCGTTTTCCATTTGCAGAATATTGTTTCTTTAGATGTAGATTGGAAGGATTTATAAGTAATTATAAAATTAATCTGTCTTGAAAATGAATGTCAATATCTCTTGATATCACCGTTTTATCAAAGAGGGAGTGCTGGTTTGTGAAATTTGGACTGGCACACATTGAAACAATGCATACTGGAGCAGAGGTGATCACTTACTGATATACCTGAGTAGCCACAAGCTAGACTGTGTTTCCCAAAACAGTTACAGAAGCATGTTCATTATTGCTTCAAAATTAAATTTCAGAATACAGTCTTTTATAAAGGTGACACTGGACCATATAAGCCCACATTCTAACTTCCAAGATCTATCTGCATTTTCGTTTCCTCTATTACTTTAATTTGCTGTACAGCGAAATAAACACAAAATAGTGAACATTGCCTGTCTGTGTGCTTAACACCTGGTTATGTACTGAAAGTAAGGCAAGCAAGCAGCAGTCTTTAACTGGTGTTCAGTGACCATTGATAACCTCTAAGTGAAAACTGCCTTCCCTCCCTTGAAAATGGGAAACGATCTTGCTCAGTTGTTGCTAATTAAATCAGAAGCCCAGAGATGAAAGAACAAGGTCCTCATTGTCCGTGCCTCTCAGGCTGTGATAATACACCAAAGTATGAAAGCAGAGTTATTGAAGCAGTCTGGCTGTCTGGCATGGGAACCGTGAATCTCATCATCTCTCCAGACCCACTGGTAGGGTTCTTTTCTTTTGTCTGATTGATTGGCACTAAATTATGAAAACTGAAGAAGAAATGAATTATTTTGTATATGTGTTTTTTGGGGGTTGTTAGCATTTGTTTTTATCCTTAATCAAATGCAACAAATGTGACTTCAAGTAAGACAACATATCGTTTTGTTCATAGATGCTGTATAGTTTTAAGGCCAGGCCAAGTAATACAGTATCTTAGATGTGTAGAGGTTTAGAGGCTGCTCATGTTATCGAAATGTTTTAGATTACAAATCATCTTTATTTACCTTTTAGTTCATTAGGTCAAAGATTAAAATAACATGTCTATATAGAAATAGGTGGGTATTATCTCCAATAAATTGCAAAACTAGAGACTTGACAGTGTGGAATTCTAAAATGAAACCAATGTTGTCTTTATGGTTTAGCAACATATTGCTTTAATTTTACTGAAGCAGAACTACAAAAATATCTGAGATAAAAGAGATGTTTATTTGAACACTCTTTTTTATTTGAGTGCTAATAGCCAAATGATCCTGGGAATTTCATGCAGTTTTGTTTCAGCGTTGAGTTATGATGATATAATTTGCATTCATTTGAGTACCTCAATACCACCTACTGTATCTTCAATTAAAGACAGATTTCCTTTTACCTGTCTCTGTAGTGTATGTGATATTTCCTTGAGACCAAGACTTCTCTTTCTATCATGATAATTACAGCTGAACACAATGTTCTAAATGAGGCCTTTGTCACACGATAGATTTTCTGAAAAAAAAATGCTGGTCATTGTTCCATACAACTCAAGAGCTGCCACAAACTCTGTGCTTGAATAGCTATATATAGCATATATTATGTGAAAGGGCTAAAACATTTTTTTTTTAATTTCTAATTAAATTCAAGTTGCCTATTTGAGCAACAACTTCAAGATTGAGAATCAAGATTGGAGTCAGTCCTTCCTTCCTTGGAGTAGGAAGTTGAACTCATCCAAAATTTAAATCTATGCACTAGTTGATCTTGTACAAAAGAATTTTGACATTTATACAGTATATTCCAGTTTACTTTGATTTTGGATGTATGTTAGAAACAGTTTTAGACATCATTAATTTGAGCTGTGCTTTGAGTAAATTAGGATAGCTAGGAAAAACACTTATTTTGTGCTTTTTGTAATATGCAGTGTTACAAAGTAAATGTCTATTAAGTGAATCTTTCTGCACAATTACTGAGGAAATAAAGGAAGTGTGTGTTATTTAATAGGCATAAAACATTAAGGACTTGAGATTTAGACAGTGACCAGCACTATGGCAAAGTGGCTAGCATTTCTGCCCGACAATACTGGAGCCCCAGGTGCAATTCTGGACCTTAGGTGCCATCTGCATTGAGTTTCCTTGTGTTTACGTAGGTTTTTTTCAGGTTCCCAGTTTCCTCCCACAATCCAAAGACATACTGGTAGGTTAATTGGCTCCTGGGAAAATTAGGCCTGGTGTGAGTGTGTACAAATTTGTGTCTGTGTGTACTCTGCCATGGACAGATGTACCCTGTCCAGGGTGTATCCTGCTTAGAAAACAGGTAGATCTTGCTTGCGGAGATAGGCTCCGGCTCCCCTGTGACCATGAATTAGATGGAACAGAAAAACGTTGTACTTATACTGAAAAATGGATGGACTTAGACTGAGATCGTGTTGGCAGGGGTGGCTCCTAACACAGGTTTCAACTGTTGTGACTCGGACAGAAGATTTGAAGTAAGCACTGCGTCACAACATGCTGAAGTTAGAACAATATCCCAGAGTGAGATATACAACTTGGGCTTTGGTTGTATTGTTCATGCCATTTCACTCAGCACTAAATCAGCTTTGAAGTGAACCTGGAAAAGGTGTTGGTCCCTTCATGCTTCATTATGTAATAACCCTGGCAGGTGATTTCTTTCCAGTGCCGACTAGAAAGTCCTTCTCAGCTTCTGTTCCTCTTCCTTTTCAGGAACTCATAGAGGTTGACAGTGAAGTGGTCTTTGAATTGGCTTCCTACATTTTGCAGGTAAGAAAAGGGATGACATCTATGTGGTCCTGTGTCAGACAGACATCAAGTGCACATACTGTATGGTAGTTTGAAAATAGTTTCTTTGGTGGCAGAATGTTGTGCCAATGGCTTCTTTAGATGAGCACATCTGTATTCAGCTTATGAAAAATGTTCAAAAGATTTTCCAAAGAACTGTCAGTCTTATAAAATGAGAGATCATATTTTTATCTTTCTAGCTTAGTGTTGAATGTGTGAGATTTTCACTTTAGCCTTTGGATGAACATTTTAAGTTTACTCTTCTGTTGAGAAGACACTGTTACACATGAAACAGAACTACAACTCACTGATTTTGTTGTAGTTCTGATGGATTTCTGTAAACATTTATTTGCAGATGGCACATCGTGTTTCTGCGTCTTTCAGATACATTATTTTACAAGCTGTTTCACCCAAAATACATGAGAGCCAGTTCAGTACTTGGCTCCAATACATGACTATAAACAAAATGAGACACTTAAATCAAGCTCTATTGTTTTTAAACCCTGGCACACTTTCTCAAGGGAGAGAGGTGATATAAAATTGTTATAAAAATCTGTCTGTTCAGGAAATTAGCTCTTTATAGGAGCTTTTCTCTCTTTTTTCATTTTGTCATAGTTGTAAAAAAACAATTTTCAATTGGTCATTGTCTGATTTTTTTGTAAATGTTGTTTCTTTATAAGAACATTTGTTTTATCTTTCATTTGTTTTCTTATTTTTAACTCTGAACAATGACAGAATTTTTCACTATTTGTACTCTCCGGTACACATCTATAGATAAGATCATTCTAGGAACATATTCTTACCAGAGTGTTTAGGTAGCAGTGTCTGCAAAGTGCAGTAAAAAATGAAATTAATGCAATTTTTTTTTTGTTTTGAGGGAGGTGTTGGTAATGAGGGTCCTTTAAATGGATGAGTGTAATGCTCATTAAGAGTCAATAAAATTGTCACATACCAAAGGAGTGGAATGTGGCAGGTCAATAGCGTATTACTCTATGGTCAGGTATAAGTCTAATATTAGCAAAAAGTGCATGTTTACACACTGAGCTATGCAGGTGCTTAGAATATCGGGTGTCTCCAGTCATAACGGGATTTCCAGATGGAGAAGATCACATTTCTTGGTATTTTAGTGCCTGGCCTCCTGGTTTAAATACTGCAGCTTACCTTGATTTATTTTGTACCTTAAAGCTAATAGGCCCCCTGTCTATTGGGACAGCCAGATCTTTGCAAGCTAACAATTTTTAACAAGTATCTGTTCTGGTAAACACTTTCTTTGTTTTTACTGCAGGAGGCAAAAGGGGACTTCACAAGGTAAGCACAACTCTTCTTTTTGTTTTTATATAGGTACCTGATTTTAAATATTTTCTAGGCTAAAAAGAAAAAAAAGTAATGCTTTGGGAGGTACAGTACAAAAAAGGACATTGTCATTTGGATAATGACATTTATGATACAGTAAAGATAGTTTTGATACAGTACCTTTTTTTTTTTACTCTGTAGTACTGGTGTTCTGGCTGTTGGTGTGAAACCATTCCAGATTTTCATATTTTTAAACAAAGCTTACAGAGTCATTCAGCTCCTGGGTATGTTCTGTCTCTAAACTGTTGAAAGAAGTAATGCTTACGTAGGAAGCGTCTATGAAGTGGTGTCAGGGCAAAATTGCAACAGTGTGAGACAGAAAGTGCCTCTGTTGTTTATGTTAGCATCACTTTTCCGCTCAAAGTGGAGAGCTTAGATTCTCTGTTACACACATGGGGTTTCCCAGTGAATTCTTCTGCTATTTCTTGTAACACCAGTAAGACATGAGGCATGAATGAACAAGTTTGGGTATGCAAGAAAAGAAAGAGGTGGGGGAGGACTGCTGTGTATGAACTGTGTAAAATTACACTGCTGCCCCGTGCTGCACTGCCACAGGAGGCTGTAAAACATGGACCCCCCAGGTTATTGTTTTCCAATGCTTATTCTCTTAAGAATGTCATTTTCGTTTAGCATTTTGATAACTGTTTAACACTGAAAAAGAACAGCAAGACATGATTGTAAAAAACGGAAACAGTTTTTGCTCAGAATGTTTCTCTAAATAAATTTTTGTGTTGTGTCTTTGTCGTAAAGATCGGTGAAAGTCATTTTTTTCCCCATATTATCACTGAGGTGGTTTTAAATCAAAAAAGGTTCAACCCTAGCCACATTTTATTTTTATCTTCCCATCCATTCATCAAATATAAGAAAGCTGCTTATTCCTGGGAATGGTCACAGCATCCTGATTTTATGCTGTAGACCATAGGGCAGCAAGGATTGCACTCTAGACCAAACACCAGTCCATCACAGGGAACACACACAAGACTACAGAAACAATTCTGTAACTGGAACACCCAGAGAAAACCAATGCAAACAAGGAGAGACCTTGCAGACTTCAAACTGAATGGGTTGATGTATAGAATTGAACTCAGACCCACATACTTACTTCCATCCCTTCAGAATGCCACTGTTCTACTGTTTTTTCTTCTGTTTTTATTTGAATGGATTTCTAGACTAAAACACAATGCACATACCCATGCATATATTTAACTGCATGATAATGAAGTACTTTAACAATATGTAAGCATTATATCGACTATACAAACTTTAATATATTAATTTATCAAAATTAATTAATATGTATTGACATAACTATTAAGTAGTGTGCAGCTTCTTGAAATGAGGAGCATCATGTCTTTCTATGTTTAATAGGTATACTATATAGTGCTGTTGTTATTTTTTGGGAATTTCTTATATATGTAACAGTAAAGCAGTCAGATGCACAAATGCTCAGGTAAACCCTTGCATCCATTTTTGTGTACACAGATGTGTTTTTTTTCTGGGGCAATTAAAGGTTCATTCCACACTGGAAAGTAGAAAGAAAATAAACAATGTTTTGGCTGTATTAGCTTTGTTCACATTTTTTTCTTCCATTGGGGGACAAGGGTCTGATGTTTTCATGCTCTTTTACTTTAATGTAATCATTTCCAATACACTTTTACCTAGTGCAACATCAGTTTTTATGGTGTTAATCATAGGAACACTTCATACTTAGTGATTGTTGAGTCTCAATAGTAAGTGCGAGAGCTACAACAGTAACAGAGTCAAGGACTCTGTAAAAAAATTGCAAAACTATTATCATTTGTGTTTACCGTTTTGCTGTAGAAGAGCACTTTGTTTTCATACATTTTTTTCTTGATCACAAGATGATTCTCATGGTTTTCTCTTCAATAACGCTGCTGTGTAAAAGAAGACGTGACATGCCTGCATTGCAAGAGATGGTTTCAGATCAACTCCAGATTTTATGATTACTTTAACTTTTGCTCAAACAAGGTTTATTTTATTCTTTCAGGGAGTTAGATTCTTCTTAGACCACACGCTTAGTTGTGTGAATCTGTACCCTGTAGATATTTCACTTAGACAGCCACAAAGCTACTTTTAAGATTACCCTCTGTCTCTCCAGATAGGAAATAATTTTAGTGGGGCACTTTTTAATTCAGAAAAAAAGAGCTCGCTATTTCTGTGGCTTCAGGACAAGGGATGCAGACGGGTGTGTATTCTACCCAGTCTGTCTGAGTTGCTGAGTCTTAAGGGTTGGGAAGCTGGTTAATATCTGGAGTCTTTAGACACAGTTGCTTCAGAAGCATGATGGATGCTTGTGTGCTTGTGTGGGAAAAATAACTGGAAGTGGTGGGCTTTGGTTCGTTATTTCAGTCTGACTTAGCAAGATGAGATGTTGTTTTAAGTAAAGTAAGGAGTGGGGGAGGGCTTTGATTGCATTGCTGAGAAGCTTGGTCCAGTTGCTGTTTATCCTTCTTACTACGAATTCTTATGTCATAGAAATATGTTGTGTGGGGAAATATAAATTCCTAGAAATACAACTTCTGCGTAAGAACTCATAAGCTACTAGTAAAACACTATTTTTATGTGCTGTAAAGCACATACAGAACAATCTAGATAGGAGGATGACATTCGCTCCAATAAAGATTCAGCCAGATTTTAAAGAATGTCAAATAGAGGTTGCGTTTTCATTTTTGGTCTTTTATGTTGTTGACAGTAAAGACCTGGAGGAAAATGTCAGTTTAATATAAATGTCATCTTTTTGACGGTAGTGTACACTTTCTGCATGCATTCATAAATTTTCAAAACTGTGATGACAGTACAGCAGGTTTTTTTTTGGCTTTTGCATGCAATGAAGTCGACCTGCAAAACAGAATGGAAGGTACCTGTAAAAAAAATAGAAACAAGGTGATGCAGGATATTGTGACTTGGTTAATCTACTCAGCAGAGATGATAAAATAGCTGAGAAACCCATGGGCGGTATTTCCTTCTACTTTAGACATTTATGATTCATCATTATCTATATCCTGTATGTCTGCTTAGTAACAAGGTTTTTATTAAGTTATTTGTACAGCATGCTTACATGGCCCTATTTATTTTTCGCCCAATATTAAGCTGTTATGGGATTGTTTTGCTAAGGAGAAATCTTATCAAAGTATTTTTGCCTTTATTGTGGGTTAAGAAGGCAAAGCAGAAAAGAATGTGGCTGTATATGAAAAAAGACCTAAAGCATACTACATGTTAAGTGTGTTTTTTTTAAGGTTATTTTGTTTTAATAAAACAGAACTACCGTTAAAACTATATTATCCTTTCTGTCTTGTTCAGATAAAGTTTGGTTGCCTTGATGAACATTATCCTTTACTGAAGTTATTTTCTGGCAAGACACTATGATTTATGGCCTGTCTGGAATTTTGCTGTCCAGACCATTTATTGATATTGAAGGCTATCTGCTGGTGTCTTAAATTGAAAGCCCTGCAGCCAAATCCATTAATCCATAAGGTGATGCTCCTTCCAAGCTGTGTCTGTGTGTCTTTTAAATTATTAAACCCAGTGAATGCACTGGGCTTTGCTCTATGCCATTTATAGTGTATGGATTGATTTATTTTCTTAAATCTGCGTTGAGGAAGAAAAGTTTAGTGAAAATGGCTTGTTTTGTTTTCTTCTTGTTAAGTTCTGAGTCTGAGTTGTCATACTAGAGGAATTCAGTTGTCTTTTTGGCATTGTTTAGTTTTTCAGGGTCTTCAGAATTCTTAGGAATTTTCTATTGTTCACCCCTGCTCATCCAGCAAGCCAGCCTACAAGCTTTTACATCCAGTTTGATCTGATGAGATTGAATTTCAGTTTTGTTCATACTAGGTTATGAGCAAAATCAAACTATTACGTAAAACAAAATGGATATAACGATCATATTTGACCAAGGTTATTCTGCCAGCCTCAAGTGGTTCTTCTTTGCAGTGGTAGATGCACACAGAAGCAAGAACAGTATTTCAAAGAAAAAAACAGAAAAAAGGTCAAAATGGTTATGTTTGTAAGTGCAGCTTCGTTAATCTGTTAAAAGGCTTCAAGCCTCAGCAATGAAGTGTAATGTGTAATTAATCGTGGGTTACTTATGATTCCCCTGTGAACCATAGTGAGATATGAAATACAGATTAAAGCTTAATTTACATGAAAGAAACACTTTGAAAATATTCCCAGTGGTGTTTTTATAATGAAAAAGTTAACTTTTACATATTTTTATCATTATAGCATATACTTACAAAACCTTTTAATACCACTATTTTAATACATTTCTATTAGCATGGTCAGTAATTCTAATGCTAAAACAGTGTTGGTGAAATGAAGCAGTAATTAAATAACTGAGATTTGCAATAATCTGACTGCTGCATCTTTGTATTAGCAAAAACTCTACATTAAATTATCTAAGTAGGTAAAGCTTTCTGAACTGAAAGTCAGAGATTTGAATGTGATGTCTCTGTATATTCCATACACTTTCCATCTTGCTGGAATATTAAATGATACATTAATACATTAATACAGATGTCTGGTAAACACTGCCTTAAGTAACTGCATGCACCTTAAGTAGTGTTTTAGAAAAGCTTTATAGTACCTCTTCCAGTAAATACATTTCTAAAAAAAATAACCAAATCGAATAAATCCAAATTAATGAACATCTTTTTCCTGCAGACTTAGGTCTAATATAATATTTTATAAAAAATTTAATTTTATGTGTATTATTACTAAGAGCAAGTTGGATATAATGTAATATAATATCCAAACATGCATGTAATGATGCAAGAAATGAAATGTAACTTGAAAGTTTTTTTTAATTGTGTTTATTTTGCAACACCCATGAAAAATGTTTATTTTTTTAAAGAAGTGATTCTACATTCTTACAAAGCCCCCCAAAGTTAGAAGGCAGGCTCTGGAAATAGAGAAACAGGACACACATTGTATTGAGAAACAATAAGGGGGCCAGTTCATAGATGGTTTCTTGTTAAGCCTTTCAGTGTATTGAGCCAGGCACCAGTAACAAAGCTGTCTTTTGTGAAGCTTTCTTTTTTCTGCCCCTTGCCTTTGATTTATTTTAGACATTTGGGGGGAAGAGAACTGTTGTTTTTACATACCAGTGGGTCACATATTCAAGTTGAGAAAACCTAGAGCAGTACTAGTTGGTAAACCTATTTTTGCTCTTTGACAAGACCTCCAATTTGCAACTGGATTAAGGCCAAGAGGTGCTTTAAAATAAATAGGTGTACATTTCACTGTGCGATATTTAAAGCAATTCTTTTAATTCCTTCCTCTCTGCTGCCTCTTAAACGCACAATCCTTGATATTATCAAATATTTATGGTATTAAATATCCATATTAAACATATATTATAACAGATTACAAAGTGAATTTGATTTAAATGAATATCAATAACTATTTTTTTGAATGATCAAAATGAGATAGTGTACTGAGAATAAACGCAACTTATATTAAGGGTGAGTTTCTTTGCAAGTGGTAACCTCTTACAAATAAACATTAAGATTTAAGAAAGTGTATTCTTAGTTAGAGAATGTATAAGTGCTGTTGGTAAATGCCATCAAAAACTGGCCCTATCCCTGACGTGCTTTCCTGACTAACCGTGACAAAGAGTGGTGGAGAAGTGCCTCTAAGAATTCACCCACAGTTCCAGAATGAAAAATAAAACTTTTTTTCCATTAACCTTGCCCTAGAAAACCAGCAGGTTCTATTAAAGCAAGAGACTTTTTGTTTGACTTATGTTGCTACCAACTGGTGTTCAGAGGTATCCTCTGGAGCGCCTCAGTCATACAGTGGGTGGCTGGAATGCAGTGAGCGTCTTTGCAGCTGTTACTGAAGACTGGTCAAGGAGGAGCCAGCTGTTACACATTTTATTAAATAATAAAAACTGCTTGAATGAAAATTAACTCACATTCATTAACGTCGGTTGAAAAGGGCTACATTTGATTTGTTTTTTTAAGATGTTTGTGTGAAAGTGTTACATTTTGACCAATGTTCAGAAAAGGATCAGTCCTCAAGCAGGTAAATGATTGTATCTTACTAATCTCTACTGTACTGTTGTCATTAAAGACAAAATAATGTTGCCTGTGTCTTTAAAAAGTTCCTCTTAATAAAATACTTTCTTTGGATTTCATTAAGGAGTACCAGATGTAGAACTATAGACGTTTGCCAACTGGGTTGGGTCACATTGAATATCGTGGGTTTTATTCTTATAGTTGAGAGTATTTTTTTTTCTTTTCATTATTTCCCCAACAGCAATGAAGTCACAAGAGCTGACTTGAAGAAGCTGCCAGCACTCCCAACGCAAGCACTGAAGGAACACCCTTCCCTTGCTTACTGGTAAGTCTGCTTTTTAAATAAAAGAGGAAAGACCTTTCTCATTTTTTTTGTGGAGAAGCTAATTTTGGTAGTGGAGAGTGTCATTAAAATAAATGACTGTTACAAATCATTCAGCTGCATGATGACTTCATCTTCTAATTTTAGTTCGTGTTTACTAATACTGTATTATAAGATCTACAAAAAAAGAAAAAATGTCTTGACTGTTATTATAAAGGCCATTTAGTTAAATGTGGGCTTTATGAGATACAAATTAGCATTCACTCCTACAAATTGAATTACTAAAAATTGCAAATCTGATTAAATTGTCACAACAGAGTTAGATTTTCTCAGGGGAATCCATACACTTTAACAGTTGATTTGAAACAAAAAGTAGATCTGTTTAGACACTTAATTCTTGACTGTGGTGTTTAATGAAGCATAATTCCATTTGTCTCTTATGTGTGTGATGCCTTTTTGCCTTTATTGCCCTTTTGTGTGTGCAGAAATGTGTGTGACGTGATGCAAAAAAATTAACAAACTCAAAAGGGGGCATTTGTGGTGCTTTTTGTTTTTTCACAGCTTTTTAAACATAGAGAAATTGTTTGGTGGAGAGAAAAAAATATTCTTATGTTAAGCAGTCCAGAACAGGTAGTGACTTGGAAAGAAGAGTCGGTTACAGTCAAAACTTCTGAGTTATTATACCAATACAGAGACAACAAAAGTGCGAGACTATCCTCAATAAGAAAGATTGATGTTCAATTCCAGATTGATGCTGGAAATTCATTGTCTTCTATGTACTTGAAAGACTCCCAGCCATAAAAAAGGCAGGAGTATCTTTAAGAGAGGCAAATATCCATAAGATGAAGATATTATAGATCCTGTCATTTTACTCAGTGTTTCATTTTAATTGCCTGTCATCTGGTGATTTGTATGAGAATGACAAAGGCATTTGGGGTGTTAAAGTCCCAGGAGCATGTGAGTTATAGACTGACTGTAAATATTTCTGAGCAGAAAAAATAAGGGACCTTAGACTTTTTTTCTTGTTCAGCATGTAATATGGACTTTGGATACATCTGCAGATGGCAGTTCAATTTCATCTGGATAATATTAGGTCACACACATGGAGATTATAAACAAGAATTATGTTTTATGCCATTTTGGGGGGCATAAAGGCCACATGAAGTAATTATTATTGCTAGCATCTATAGAAAAATCAAGGCAAACGTTTCGAATTTCAAATATTATTCCTATTCCAAATGTTGGGCAGAGCATCTGAACCACTGAGGTCTGATTTCCATACACATAAATCCAAAGTAAATGTATTCTTTCTGTTTCTGAATTAGAATGTTTCTTATGTCTGTCTACATAACATTTCGAAAATGTATGAAAATGCAGAATTTTTTTTATTTGTTTTAAACGTGTTTTTGTTGGAATTTGCCTTTTCTTAAGCCTGTCTGTCTCGTAGGTGATTTCGTAATAGAGACATGATGGTTAGCACTGTTCTAGTTGTCTCACAACTGTCACATCCTGAGGCTACTGTACGTATAGTATGCATTCTTTATGTCAGAGAAGACTCGTATTCTGCAAGCTTTCTCAGTTTATGTAACCAAGCTGGTTACAAGCTGGTTATCTGTTTAAAAAATCCCCCTGACACCCATTAAGTCAATAGTTCACTTCCTTTTTTTTGGGTATGTGCATTTGGTATACATGCCGCAAGATGCCCTGAACTGCATTATGTTTGCTAACACACAGAGAAATGAGGTCCGAATTGTAAAAACGTGATGTTGGAGGACATTTTATAAAGTCTAGCCCCCCATAATCATTGTACAAGCTGAGATATAAGTAGTGTAATATATGCGCTTAAGTTTCTGAATTCCCGTAGTGACCGTCACTGTTCTTCAAAGTCCCTCTGAACAGCGTGGCCTGATGACAGTCAGGGCCGACAAGGGCGACGACAGCCTGCGGTTCCTTCCCTTGCCGCCTGGATCAGCAGGTGGGGTCTAGAGGGACTTAAACACAGCTGCCAGACATCACGGCCACTCCCACAAAAGCCTGGAAAAGTAACAGCTGAAATGATATTTCAGAACTTTAACTAGCTCTGTGCGGGGCTTTCTGAGGCTGCGTTTTAGTCCAGTCTTTACTGTGCTCTGTGCCAAGAGCCCTGTTTATACAGAGCCTGGGTGCTGACACATGAGATAGAACATTAAAGGAACAGCGAAGGCGACCCCCCACCCCCAACCCCCTGCCCCGCTTTCAGCTTGATTTAAAGGATCTTTTGTGCAAACCCCATACTCCTAGGGAGGTATGTAAATCTCCCAGCTCCTTCTCAACCTTCTGCTTTTATGGTTTCACAATTTGCTTGTAAAGCTTTGTAACAGTTTCTCATCGAGGTGTCTCATTTCCTTTGTTCAATCTGTATCGTGGATTTTCTATATCTGTACGTCTGCAAGAATTTGTGACCGCATAAAACAATGTAAACGTCATCGTAGCAAGATTTTACACATCTTTTTTTTTTTTACAAATTATGTATATAGGTTTTTATACACTGCTTTGTTCATTTCGGTCATTCCCGAATGCAGTTAGTTTAGGGCAACATAGCAAACATAAATTTGGTAAAGTTGTTTATCAGTGATTTGATTCTCAAATTGCAGGTGGTAGGCATTCAGGGAACAATAAGTGTTTGGATTGAGAATTGATCATTAAACAGAGAACAAAAGGTACAATGGCAAAATGTTTGGGTTTTAAAACGTTATAGGAAAGATAGTCCCGCTCTGTGATCAATCCTGAAAAGACCAACTAGATACATTTTGGCGAATAATAAAATGTCCATACTGACAGGCTGAAGGAACATAGTCTATAAGGGACCTGGTACAAGTATTCAGAATCCTTGTATCAAAATTCAGCAAATTTCTTCAAAACTGACAGTGGAACACACACCAGAGGACACAACTGGAAACCATGTGGAAGAGTATTTAAAAACAACATCAAGCGGCACTTTTTAACATAACGCATTGTGGCAGTATGTTACAAGATACCCCGCCATTTTGTTTATACCAATACCCTGGTGTCTAGAAATGACTATATGAGATCTTTGGATCAATTATTGTAACTATTAACTATGAAGCTCCTTGGTTTGTAACCTTTTGTTAGTACTAAGAGATCACTTTATTTGGCCATGTACAATTTCTTGTATTAGGAATTTGTCTTTTCACATACCCCAATTTGCTCTCCATAAGACACACAGACAGAGAGAAAAGCTTGGGGTCAGAGTGCAGGGTCAACCATTTATTTGGCACTCCTCGAGCAGTTGGGGTTAAGGGCCTTTCTTAGGGGCCCAAGGGATAAGGATTCCTCTGCCATCCGGTGGATACGAACCGGCAACCTTCCAGCCACAGGTGCAGATCCTTAGCAAAAGAGCCACCAAGTTTTGTGCTTATGACACCCCCTTATGTCTAGTTTTTTCTTGAGCTTTACTATCGTCCTCTCAATTACATTGATATGAGAGCTGGTCCTGTGTCTAGATCTGCCTCCTCCAGTACTTACAGGAGATGTAGGTTTTCTTGCTTTGATTTTTTGATTCTTCTTCCTGGAGGAGAAGTTAAACAGGTTTCCCCCTCCCCCTCCTTATCCCTCTACAATCTACAATGCTATTGCTTATTTTACATTCTGAATCATGGCTTGAGGTTGAACAGATTCTTAACTTTCCAATGGAAGAACTGAAAATACCATGCTGGCCTCTCACAGCACAGTTCATGAGTGCAATAAACAATTTATTAAGTCTATTTATCTTGCTAACCACTGTACCAATGTAAATCTTGTAATTATCATAAACAAGAATAGAGTTCATTACATTATAGATTCAGTGGTCTGTTATGGTAAAAATTAGTTGAACTGGGTAATTTTTTAGACGTTGGAAACAAATTTGAAGTTTTGAGGTAAAGTAATTTCATTTTTGGACTTTCACCCTTACAGTTTTCAATCGATGGATAATGTACAGAAATCGAAGGATGAGTGTATATTGATTAATGTTTAATCTCTCCCTGTATAAAGAAATAGAAATTTAACAGGTCCTGCATTGTCTTTCAGTGAGGACAGAGTCGTAGAGCACTACAAGAAGCTGAGTGGTCAGTCCCGAGGCCAAGCAATTGTCAAGTAAGTTTGGAACTTTCCTGTGGCGGGGACATGTCTGTCACTTAAAATTATATTTCCTGGATTGTCACAGAAAATAAAGTGTAGGAAATGTACTGTTTTGTGTGTTATATTCTTAATTTACAGTGATACAGAAAACTGTGTCACATTAACTCTTTTTATTGTTCAGTGTGCATATTTTGTGTTACCATTATAGAAAATTAGGAAGTCATTTAATACAGATCAAAGCTGCTTGTGCTTTTGTCTCCTTGTGCAAATCGTTCTGACAAATATGTTTCCTCTTTTTCACAGTTATATGAGTATTGTGGAATCACTTCCCACATATGGAGTTCATTATTATGCTGTAAAGGTAGGTCTTTACAACCTACATTAAAAAATGTATGATATACAGTATTAATCTGAGATTAAAACTCACCAGCTATAAAGGGACACCATCGATGACATTGTTTACCATTTCTTATTTTAATGTCCATAACAGAAAGGGTTAGAAAAAATTACATTGCCGTCAGTGCCCATTACATCTGAGTAATGTTCAATAGTATTTCATTCCATTGTCTACATCCTGATAAGCTTTTAATTTATAAGCCAATCATTCTCACATTCAAAAGATAAGGCATACATTCAGTGCAACCACGTGTTTCCAAAATAGCATCTACACATCAATGTTTATCATCCTCAAATACTGTATATATCCCTTCATTGAATTCACATTTCCAGTTAAAAGCCAAGGTGTTGAAATGAAAGCTCGCAACTTGTTGGGATATGATTTCAGAAGTAAAAAATTACATTCAAGTTACTTTACCAGCTATAGCTACAGGCTCAGAACAGTTCACAGTATTGGCATAATAAAGATCATCACTGACATTATAAAGAGCGTCCTAAGAGTCCTCTTAAAATCTTAAGTTGTATTTGTTTAGCAGCTTATATAGACCTCTAGGATGCAAATTTGCTTATTTTTTTATGTTTTCAGTTACTTTAGTAGTTGGGGGGAAAAAGAAATTGTTCCTAAATTGTTTTCTGTATTGCAATAATAATGTCTCTGGTTTGCAAGTCAATTTTAATTTCTTAAAATCACAACATTGCCCAAAATGTTTTAGCTACCTCATTACCTCAGCACCTGCATTATCTTTGTGTTGAATGCTGAAACTGAACAATTTTATGGGTGAAAGTAATTTTAAGCTGTGCAGAAACTGCAAAGAAAAGTCAAAAAGTAAAATATGTTGATTACGTACATTAAACTGCAACACTTTTTATAGATTTAGGAGTTAGAAAGAATTGGCATTGATGAGGGCATTTCAAAACACAATGAAATGAAAATGTACACAGTAATGTGTAAGACCTCCTGTTTAAATCACAAAATAGACAATATTTCCAGGTATGCATCGCACTGTATTCTGTATACTCGTGAAGAGGCCATATAACATTTTACACAAGCAGGTGTGTGAATACATCTCTTTTAACCCAAAAGAAATATTGCTCTCGACTTTGAGATGGTTTTGCCAACAAATACAAATATTTGGTTCACACAAATTTATACATACACCTGTCTCTGTGACATGTCTGAGTCGGGTAGTAAATTTCAAGAACAGATTCAACCAGGAAGACCAAAGAGCTTTAAGTTGTATAAAGAAACAGATAAGGAGAAAGGTGTAAGATGCCAAATATACCCTTGAGCATGGTGAGCATTGAGGAGCATTAAGAAATGTAGAAATGCATCACACCAAACAGACACTGTCTACAGGCTGTCCCCCTTAGTGCAAATTGAGGGACTGAGTAAAGAGGAAACAGGCTACGGATGCCACTTTAATATCAATTGTCACTTTAAAAGAGGGTCCAATGGCTGATATAAGAGACAATTGTGACTCTTGAAAGCTGGCCTGAATGGGAAAGTGGGAAATCTCAAGTCCCACGTGGAGTTTTGAGCACTGAAGTGTTAAATGCTGCAGCAAGCATGTGGCAATGAGTTTTGTGGTCAGACGAGACAAAATTGGAACAATGCAAAGCGTTAAATCTGGCACAAACAAAACACAACACATTACCAAGTCAGCACCATTCCTAATGTCAGGCATGGTGGTGGCAGCATTATATGACTGTACGTGGCTGCTTCTCATTAGCAGGGACTAGGAAGGTTTTCACGATTGAGGGAAAAATGGATTGAGGAAAGCATTATAAAATCTTAGAGGAAAAGCTTCAGTCTACTAAACACATAAAAATGGGTAAAAAAACACCTTTCAGCAGGACAGTGACCCAAAGCATAGGGCGAAAGACACACTGGAATGGCTTTGGTGATTTAACAAGAAGGATCTGATAGAAAATCTGTGGCAAGATTACTGTCCCATCAGTGATTCCTACCCAACTTGACAGAGCTTGAGCAAGTTTGCCAGGAAGAATGGGGAAAAGTATCTTTATCCCAGTGAAAAAGTTAGTGGATGATTAAATAAAAGACATGCAACTGTAATCACTGCCAAATATTGCTTTAAAATGTTACTTTACCAAGTAAAAAAAAACAAATACTTCCTTTCACTTGCTTTTCCTTCTGCTTTTGAATTTTTAAAATAATGATGAAAATAAATCCCCTCTTTTTGGATTGGTTGATCACATCTTGTTGCTTGAGATTGTGAGATCCAAGTCTCTTATTTGTAAGTCTTCTGATTTTCTGGGATCTCTCTGGGTCATTTAAACTGCTTAGCTGTGGCAATGATTTATGATAAAAAAAGCCAAGAGTAGTTCCTGTGCAGCTATTGTGAAAAGTACGTATTGTACAGTATCTTAGTTGTAAATATGTCATAACTTATGAATGCTCAATTTTTATGTCATAACAGGACAAGCAGGGTATTCCTTGGTGGTTAGGACTGAGCTACAAAGGAATTTTTCAGTATGACCATCACGACAAAGTTAAGCCAAGAAAGGTAAGTGAAAATTGAGAGTTTTGTCAACTTTGTGGAAACGCAAAAAATACGGGCTTTTAACTCTTCAATTCTATTTTCACATTGCTGCTGTTTATTTACATCAAATGGTTTTATGTATTTTAAACAGATTTGGCATATCACAGTGACAAATACTATATTGTCGCACAGGATCTTTCATAGGTTATGTCTATAGAGACCAACGATCTTTAATTCCTATTAAGATGATTATATTGGTGTAGGGAAAACCGGCTCAGGGACGCCAAATATGTAATCATAGTGGCTCTCTGAAGGCACCAGTTCTGTAGGGTTTGGGCATTTACTGAGACAATTATTAATT